GTTTTTGTTGTTGTTGTTGTTTTTCCAACATTTGAGGCTCCGTTTCTGCTGTCATGACATCCGTTTTTCCAATGTTATGGGCTCCGTGCGTGTCACTTTATTGGGATCCTCGAATGTTTCTGCGCAATGTGTGGCGCTTACTGTTTCCAATGTTTTTTTTTTAGTGTTTCCATGTTCAACGTCACGCCCGCAGATAGTCTGAAACTATCTCATGGTTTGTTGGTTTCCGAATTATTGATTTTCTCAACGTTTCCGAGTCAAGCTGCATGATTTTGTTGGTATTTCCAATGCTTCCGACTAGAGTGCATGTTGTGTCTGGTCGTCCTCCAAAATGCTTCTGAGAGGTCAGCATGTTCTTGCGATCCAGGAAGCCCAAAACCATGGAAGGTCCCGATAAAGCCAATGTCGTCAGGAAAGGCAGGAAAAGGGTAGGTACATTGGGGGCTGGGGATACTATCATTATTATTTCTTTTTTTGGGGGGCCAGATCATATCTATCTATCTGTCTATCTATCTATCTATCTATCTATCTATCTATCTATGTATACATACATACAAACATACATACATATGTGTATATATATATATGTACATATATGTGTGTGTGTGTGTATGTAAGTTCCTGTATATGTATATGTATATGTATATGTATATGTATATGTCTATGCCTCGGTTTGTAGGTGTGTGTGTGTGCATCTGTCTGCGTGTATGTTTATGTGTATGTTTTTAATGTTTGTACTTGTGCGTACGTGTGTGTGTGTGTGCGTGTGGTAGTGTGTTTGTTTGTTTGTCTGTTTGTCTGTTTGTTTGTTTGTTTGTTTGCTTGTGTGTGTGTGTGTGTCTGCGTGTCTGTGTCTGTGTTGTGTGTGTGTGTGTGCGCGTGCGTGTGGTAGTGTGTTTGTTTGTTTTTCTCTCTGTCTGTCTGTCTGTCTGTCTGTTTGTTTGTTTGTTTGTTTGTTTGTTTGTTTGTGTCCGTCTGTGTCTGTGTTGTGTGTGTGTGTGGGTGGGTGGGTGGGCTTGTTTCCTTCATCTAGGAAGCAGCCGCACGCAGCGAACACCTGGTACATCGCCGTAACCTGAAGGATGTGTGGAAGATGCACGCCGACCCTAAGGTGCAAACGACAAGTGCCAGATCAGACCCAACTGTATTCAAGCTCCATCTTCTCAAGTGACAGATGGGCCAGCAAGAACGTCAAGTGGTGCCAACCAGTGGACGGCATGGTCTGATGCAGAGCTGCACTACGCAATGCAACTCTCTTTTGGCTTGTCCTTGCTCCATCAGCGAGCGGCTTCTTTCTGTTCGTCCAAGTACTTGCCTCAGGAATGCCCATCGGGCCACAAGGCGCAGTGGTGTTGCGGGTATCAAAGGTCCTGACATGTCCGGTGCACCGATGTTGACAACTCAAACTCGGGTTGCTGTCTTTGCGATGCACATGAAGGCCGCGGGGCTGCGATACATGGAAATCCTTGGAGACATCAGAGGCGGAAGAAGCCCGGGTGGCAGCCACTTTCTCTGCAAGAAGCTGTCGCAAAGTGCCGTTTGAGTTTGGCAGCTGAAGTTGCATTGCCAAGCGTACAAGCAAGGCGTGCATCAAATTGACTGCTCCAGTACAGGGTGCAGGGCAATGAGCAGGGGCCAGAGGATTACCATCAAGGCAGCATGTGTCCAACATGCTGAAGTGGCGGCGGGAAACTTGATCGACAAGAACCTCGGTTCAGGGTACACCTCCAAGTCGACCTGTCCGAGTGGCTTCAATCCAATTGGTATCAGAAACTTGGACTCCACCGAACTATACGACGCTGTGCGAAAGTGGTGCCTCTCCGGCTAGGGCAGCAGTTCCTTTCATGTTTGGTGTATTTGGAGGGGAGAGAAACAGGGTCTGTGGCCTGCGATGGGAATGGCAGAATTTCATGCTGCAGGCATTGCGACTCCTCCGGATGCATGGTGGAATGTAACGGAGTCGGGCGTTGCAAAGTTCGCGCTCTGTGTCTGTCAGCTATGACGCGGGCACGTGCGACGTGTTCGACCAGCCACAAGAACCTCCTGATCACACTTTCATCAGGGCCAGACTCCAGATCTGCTCCGGCCTGTCCAGCAACACACCAAAGTATTAGGTGCCTCTGCATGTCCGACAGCTGCTCGGCTGAAGCCCCTCAAGGCGGCCTAAGGCTTCTGCAATGCTGCATGTGTGTGGTTTGTGTTTGGCTTCAAGGTGGCAAGTGTTCGAACTCCAATGGTGTGGCTGGTCCCAGCAGCTGCACCGTGGATTTTGGCCGAAGACGCCGGCGGCGTCGCAGAGTCCTGCAAACGGTCTCGCGCATGTGCGCGCAAGGTGAAGCCAAGCTCAAAGTGTGACTTGGCTCATTCAGACGACGTTTCAGGCTTCGTTGCGCATGTGGAATTGCCAAAGCGGTGTTTTGGAAGCTCAGGTCTTTAGGGTCGGAATCTGCAGAATTCCAGGACAGGGCACTCCGACTCGCTGGACAGCACTCTCGTTCGATGATCGAGTCAGCCAGGTCATTCCTGCATGACTGCGATAGGATGAGTAGAAACCCAGACTCCTCTCGTCGTGGCGAAAGCTGCGAAGCCCCTTCTCCGTCATGCCCGCGACCAAGAAAGGTATGCTACACAGCGTTTCTTCTTCTAAGCGCTTCAACCAGTTTCGATTTCCATAGCTGTTCCATCACTCGAGCTGCAAGAATCACCGATAGTTGCTGTTCTTGCAGGATTTTCGGCACGACTTTACCACCAAGACAGTGCAGCTCACGGCACCGCAGTCGGGTAATGTGCGCCTGCGGTTTGAAGAGCAGTTACGTCGACATGCCCGGGCCTCGTAAGCCTTCTTGCACAAGGTTGTCGTTCTTGCTTCAGTTGGTTTCATGCAGAGACTGTGAACAGCACCACAGGAAGCACAAGGAAGTACAGAGTCGGGATCAGTTGATGTAAGCAGGGTCTGTTGTCAGATAGCCGAGGCCAGATTGTTCTTCGAGGATGTCAGCATCACAGATTCCGAATCGGATATGGGAAAGCAGAGCTTGATGATTGACCCGAGTAACGCACCTTGCCAAAGCTTCCACAAGACTCTTTATCCCCCGAAAGCCCTCAGAAGCCCAGAGCCCAGGTTTGTTCAGGATCTCGATGGGAGATCGAGATGCCGGCAACCGATGCCGGAGCTCTTGGCTGCATTGCCAACACGTTGAACATTTCTGTTGTAGCGGGAGAGTTGAAAGTTGAAAATTCGCGCTTACCTTGGAAGCAGACCTACTTTCTCTGTGCTTTCCTTCTTGTTCTCTGCCTACCGACCCTGTGCTACACCAAGCAGCTGCTAAGGAACACCGTATCAGGTGACGATTACATACGGAGACAGTCGACGAGCAGTGGACACTTCAACATGTACGCGACTTGTAAGCACAGGTTCGGGAACTTTGCGCTTGCCGTCGCCTGCCCTCAGCATCCCTGCGCCCAGTCAAGGATCGGGACAGAGGGACGCATGAAAGATGCGTCCCACCCCGACGGTACCATTGCGCAAAATACGTTCGCTACCGTGACGAAGCCGGTAATCATCTACGGGAGCGGCGGTGCCGTGACACCGATAAGCACACGGCATTGAGTCTTGCGATATGAGAGGGTCGTCATGAGTCCTGTCCACCCGAGAATGCCGCAGGTAAAGGGAAGCTGGCCTTCTCGGGGGAGCTTTCGGCAGGCTGCTCTGGAATCAACAAGCAGCTTAGTTGCCAGCAAAGTATATCAAAGGGCGTACATGTGTTGCTTATACTCTCATATACATGTATAGTAACTTGTGTTTACACATAAATATACATACATACATACATACATACATACACACATACAGAAGCTGTATGAAGCTATGTATCTATTCTATCAGTCTCTCTGCTTGTCTGTTTGTCTATCCGTCTATGGGCGCGTCCTTCTATCCCCAAAAGTACCGGTCACCAGTCCCATACTCCAATAGAAACTATGTATGTATGTAGGTAGGTAGGCAGGTAGGTAGGTAGGTAGGTAGGTATGTATGTAGGTATGTAAGTATGTATGTATGTATGTATGAATGTATGAATGTATGAATGTATGTGTAAATGTATGTATGTATGTATGTATGTATGTATGTGTATATATATATATATTTGTATGTTTGTATGTGTATATGTCTATATGTACTTATGTACATATACATACACTTTATGCCCTGGTGCATGTGTGTGTGTGTGTCTGTGTGTTTGTTTGTTTGTTTGCTTGTTTGTTTGTTTCTTTGTGTTTCCTCAACAAATACTGGCATCTCTTTCTCAGCCGGGGTGGCTTAGAACTCCGTCAGGATCAGCATCTCCAAGCAGGACTCAGTCTTTTGGTCCTCTTGTGGCGCGGCCTTCAGCAAGGCCTGGAGCCTGGAGGCCTCCAGGTGGCTCGGAATGCTCAGACCATCTCGGACCACTCGTCTCAAATGGATCCTCGCGCCTTATCGCACCTAAGGCAGGCGCCGGGAAACGTCCAGCTTGTCTACCGAGATCGACAGACAGCCGCATGTGTGGACCCGATGACCGGCAAAATGGAGGACTGCGCGCTGGAGACAGATGTCGACACCTCGCTCAGCATAGAAGCATGCACGTAGGGTTCACATTTTGTTCCCCGGAAAGCCATCCTAGCAAGCTTGGGCATCCGCTTGTGCCAGCTGACCAACACGTCCCCAACCTAAAGCCCACCCAGCGGCAGCTGTGTGTGCCACGATTTGATGCTGACAGCTGCAAAAGCGCTATTCTGCTTCGCTGCTTGGCTTTCCGAGTCTAAGGAAGCGCACACGAAACAGGTTTTCTCCTTGGATTACCTGGCTCCCCTTGCCGCGCGATGGACCCACATGGCCTCCGGACAGAACCTGCCGTTCGGCTCGTCAGGCGCATGTCGACATTGCTCGGTGCTTGATGTGACTTCAAAGGCAGCCTGGGGCCTGTGTGCGAGCTCAAGACAGGCCGGCAATGGGACAGGCTGCCTTTGGGTTCATGTCAGATGGCGCCGCCTTGTGTCAGAGGTATCTGCCGTACCTCAAAGTCAACCAGCCGCTCGTGTCCTGCGCAGCTGGGCAGGCAACCCCTGCGGGCCGCACCCCAGCTACATCTCGATATCTGGAATCTCGATGTCAACTCGAGTGTAGCCTAGTGTCACGAGAATGCTTGTCAAGGTGTTTGTAGGAGTGACAATGAACAGCCAGTCTGAACACTTTCCACATGCTGTCAACCCCTTTGGCAAACGTGGCTTGCGGACACCAATAGGTCACCACTGCGGATGACATCGAGATCGAGAGTGAGCGTGTGTAGTCTATTACTATAGCGTTGGACGCAGCGGCGTAGTAATGAGGGCAACCGTTTCCGCCTGCCGGTCTTGATAGGTGCTGAGCTCCTTCTCCTTCCGACAAGATAGCTCTTGCAATGGTGCTGACTATTTTCGATCCTTGGCTCTCAACAGACTTCCAGAGTTCGATTCTTGACATTTTGACGGAGGCGAGCTCCATGCCGATTTCCAGAAAAAACCGGCCCCTTCACCCCTCTACCCCGCCCCAGGCTACTTCTACAGTTGCACAACCATCGTTCCGGTGAAGGGTGCTTCGATGTGCACCCCGCGCCTTATCTTCAAGGTGCATTTGCCACCATGTTGTCACGCCGATAGTAAAGGCTTGCGTAGCTTGTTTAGTGTAATAGTACACTGTGCCGGGAATTTACGACAATTCTTTTGTGGAACCGTCTTGGCAATCTTGGTCATCTTGCAATCTTGGTCAGTCTTGGCCCAAAAGACAGATTGCCAGCAATCTTGCTTTGGTCATCTTACCTTCTTCGCCGACTAGTTTACCTCTTCAGACCAAGATTGACCAAGCTTGCGTCCCCACTTGGGGCAAGATCGGTTGGCAATCTTGCTCAAATAATTGTTCCAGATTCCCGGCGCACAGTAATGGTAGCACTATAGTTTCAGTGTGTGGTACTTCGTTGGACTCAGCCCAAAGCTCCCAGGAAGACGACACGCTGCGTTGCTCACAGTGGCAGCCATCCACACTTGTGGGAGCTGGACAGGACAAGCATAGTCGTTTTGCATCATGAACTCCACAGGTAGCGAACTGTCCCTTGAAAGGTTATCATGCTCGCATTGACTGTGCAAGGCACGACGTGGGATCGCAGTGTGAAGCTGGAACGTTGTTGACGAAGTTCGAGTACAAGAGCTGCAACGGGGACGATGGTGTCTCGATTCGCACAGCACGTGTGGTGTGTGTGTGTGTGTGTGCGCGCACCTTTCGCAGCCCAATCCGAATGCAGTTTTGGGGTGGAGCGATTAGTAGCATGAGCCTTCCATTACCATCACATTGCTTTCAGCCCAGGCGCTGGCTATCACTATGCATACACATGCTGTCCGGTTCAAGGTGCTGGACCCAGTCTGTGCCTGTCTTTACGATAGGCGGGTCACTTCGTGATTATCAGCTGAACCTTTGAAGAGGTTGCCTTGCACATGTTTGCAAAGTGCCTGGTGCATTTCTGAGGTTTGGGTGAATGCTCCGAAGAAACAACGGAATGGGGAGAGGCCATGCACTTACGCCTTTGATCCACTCGCCTGCTGAGGGTTCTTCCTCTGCGAATGCCCAGCATGCCCCTATTGGATGGTTCACTTGCTGAGTCCTGCTTTCTCGACTTCCTTCTCCCCTCCCATCTCCGCCGTCTCGTTTCAAGAAGCTCCCAAACACAAAACACAGGCCCTAAAGGCGTCGCCCGTTTCCATCCCTCTCCTCTCCCTCTGCGGATCGGGCTTGTGTCGGATGCCGAGACTCGACATGTGCTCACCATGGCTTCCGTGGTGGGTGGGGTTCTTCTCTCTCCACTTCCTTCGCACCCGCGATTCCACATGCCGCCTGAGGGCACGCCACACCTCCCTGTCGGAAGGGCGAGCCCGGGTGCCAGGGACAACAAGAGATTCAGAAGCTCCAGGAAATCACCCCGAAGGAGTTACCGGTTACCGTTTGTGTCTCAGGTTGGCCAGAAGAGCGACCTGGCAGCGTTGGCGCACCACCGACCTCAGTGCCCTCGAGACCTTTGACGCTGAAGTTGGTAAGTACACTGAGACTTCTGAGTGACTACTCTGTTTGTTTGAGTTCTTTGTTCGTGGCAAGCACCGTATGTGAGGACAGCGGTTTGCAGCGCTTCCTCCTTGAGTCCAAAGTTCCGGAGGTTGCTCAAGGTGCAACTCTCCAAGGAGAGGTCAGGTGCCGGGTCTGCATGCCAGAAGCCCTGGAAGCCTTCGCAAGCCTGTTTATGTTTTTCTTCTGCTTCGTTTCTTCCACCGCCTAACCCTCGTTCTCAGGTACACCTTTGTCTGCTGCATGCTGCCAATGGCACCGCCCGTCAGTGTCAAGACGGGGCCATTGGATGCAGGCGGCGCGTGGGAAGGCCATTGAATGAATCTATGTGGCATTAATGAGAACTGAAGTCCTTTTGTGCATCCCCAGGCACATATTGTCCAGCAGGACGTAGCGAAGGTCGGGCCACGCTTATGCGAGGAAAGGCCTCGTCCCCTTATTTCTCCAAGAGACCCCTGCCTGCACGAGATTGCAAGCGCTCGAGGATTGCAATTCTGACGATGTTTTGGCATGGCAAGTGAATTATTGTTTGTCTTTGGGATTCAACCTTCTGAACCTGAAGAGCTTCGAGCCGAGTCCGGTTCAGCCGTGCTCCATTGCATAAAGTCAGTGAGTATGCAACTTCCCGTGCAAATGCCGCACCCCGGCATGAAGTGTCCAGCTCAGCAAGGAGATGATGTGTCATGTGGCTATCACAAGGACAAGCTTGCCAAAATTGTGGATGGCGGGGCTTACATGCCCAGCACAAGGTGGGTCAGTTCTGACAGCAAGGAGCCACTTCCTTCTGATTCAAAACTATATGTTTCAAGGGCGGGCGCCCTGAGCACGTGCGGCCCAGTCTGCGCTGCGGAACCGAGCTGCGATGGCTTCATTTGGACCGCGGCACTGAGTTACGCTCATCCTTGAGCACGAGTGAACGGTCAGCATTCTGTCAATGTTCGAGCATGAGCAGGATTGATGGGATTTGTGGCTTCCGCAAGGACACCTCATACAATGCGACTGGGCTGCTTGCTGCTTGCAAGCGCTCCCCTTTCTTGTTCGAAAGACTTGTCGTTCGTTGTGCAGGTGAAATCCGATGCTCGTGCCGACTGTTACAGCAAGGTGCCGGAGTCGGAGGTACCGTGGCTGGAATGGGACACAGGAGCTCCCCCTCCGGAAGTGGTGTTCCTCTCTTCATTGCGCTCAAACCAATGCCCCCAGCTGTTCGCGGTCGCGATGTTGAACTGTCCTCAGAGCCGTGTCCGGCTCAGGCCATGAAGATCAAGTTTGACCGTCTTGCTGGCCATTGGTGCATGATTTCTCACGTCCAGCAGCCCCTCTGCTCCTTTGACAGCACCAGCATGTAGATGCTAAGCACAACACGATTCTCAAGGCTCTGAATCGCAAGATGTTTTTGCAGTGGCGGGCTGAACGATCCTGGGGCATGCACAGCCGAGGTACCACTGCTGATGTATCGCATCCACTTCAGCTCCCTCCAGGAGGAGATGGAAATATCGACTACTCCCCAGCCCCTGTGCGGAAGCCAAATCCAAAGATTGAGTGTAAGCATGCAGATGAGTCGAGATGCTCCCAGGTTTTGCCAATGGACACAGAGTTTGAGGGCAATGGGGCCGTGGAAGTGGCGCACGACTCGATGGCCCAAAGCCTCCTAGGACGGCAGCATAAGCACCCTGCTGCCGCTCACTCAAGCGAGTTGCGTGTCGTTGTAACTTGTTTAACTCCACAGAGGAAAGGCTGTTGCAAACAGAGGGTCTTCCTGTGTTGTGTTGATCTTCATCACTCGACGGTCTGCTCCCCTTGCAGCACCCTAGTCTCAGTGGTCGAAATGTAGATTCTGTGCCAAGTCAAGTTATGATTTTGCGGAGCGCCAAATGCTTTCTGTGAAGCGACGCTGCGACTACTGCATCATGCGCCATGTGACTTGAGACTTGAGTCAGCGCGGAACAACGATTTGCCTGGGGATTCCGTGACACAACCATGCGTGCTCAAACCATCAGCACTACACTCGCGAACCTGTATGGGGGTCTGGACTCAGCGCCGAAAAGTTGCATGGCCGCGGCGGGCTGCCTTCTTCAAGCGTTCAAGCCTTCAAGTCGCGATTGAAAGATGTTCGTGTGTCTTTTTCCGGTCGGTACCCCGAAATAAGTCCGCAACTCCGCACGCGCTGAATCCGATTACACAGCTGAAATCGAATAGCTCGCAACAGTTTTGTCTGCTGAAACCCTGAATCATGAAGAGCCGCGCCAGTTTTGCCTGTATGCGCATGTCGGGAGGTGGTTCGGTTTGGAGTCGGGCTTTTGTTCAACGCACGGAAAGACGTGAGCGGAAAGACGTGAGCTCTGCACAGTTCGTGACATGTATTCCTGCATACATGCAGAGTGTGCGGCGTCCAAGAGTAATTGATTTCTTTGGCTTCACATCGCGCAGGAACTTCGAATTCTGCAATGAGCCGAGCTGGGACTGGCGGCGGGCTGGGAAACAAGAAGTTCAAGAGCTTGGCCTGAAGGTGACGTAAGCACTTGCAATCTAGCACTTGGTTTGCATGTGGGATGCTCCACACTGTGGTGCTAAGGAAGTTGCCTAAGATCCCCAAAGCCAAGTTCAACATGGCAAAGCTCCAGCTCTTGCAAGGATGGGGAATTAATATAAATCGGCTGGGTGCAGGCGAGTTTAGCAGTCGAAGATGTGTCTTTGCTTGCCGAATGCAGTGTGGCTGTCCCTGTTTACACTGTTGCACGTCTTTTCGTTCCTAGGCGCAGCAGGACTCAGAGGCAGCTGGTTGCTGCTGTGCACTGTGTCCAAGGTTCGAGATGGCGGAGTTCAAGCCTTTCGAAGGGGAGCGCCAGGAGCTTCAACAGCGTGGGGTAACGGAAGCGGCTGCTTGGCTCCAATCGAGCCGCCCAACATACAGCTGCAAACGCCCCCTAACGAAATGTCCAGCCAAGCCTTGTCCAAAAGGGTCTTCGGTGGTGCTGCATGAGCAGCACAATTTTGTTTCGGTAAAGTCCAGGTTGCCCCAATCAGAGCAGCCTTTTATTAGCTTCGCAGAAGAATTGGGAGGACGGGTTTGCATTGGCAAGCATTTCGTGATTATGCAAGTTGCGAGGCATTGCTGTCTGTGACACCGTGCGTGTGGATGCTGCCTGTAAATTTATCAGAACTGAGGTGCTGAACTGGAATCCGGAGCCTATCGTGCCTCTTGGACTCGAGCGGTAAGGCCACGGAGGTCTCAGGCCCGAAGGTTGCGCGGCCGTCTGAGGTATGCTCCGCACTGCCTGGCCCGAGAGAGCCGCGAGAAGATCACGGGCTCTGAGCCCGTCGAGGGTGACCACTACCTCAGCAACGAGGTCACATGCCCAAAGACAGGAGCATGAAGCCATGGAGTCGCAAAGGCCTCTGGTCTAGGGCCTTAGGGCGCAGTCACAGTGCAAGTGAAGCTGCCAAGGAGAGGCAAAAGGATGTGGTGGGTGCCTGCTACCATGCTTTGGGTGCAGATTCCAGCGGGGCGGCGGCTGTGGAGACCTGGGGAGAAGAGGGCACGCCAGGGAAGAAGAACACGGATTGGCAAGAGCCGTACTTTGCCCCCAATCCGACTTTCCCTGGTCTCACGGCCGATGCGGTCTGGGACTGCTCCACGCGCGACATCAATCGTGGATACAAGCTGGCCATGTGGGACCCGAGGGGGGGGCCGAGCTTGGGAGGGGCATGGAGAGCTTGGGGCTCGCTTTAAGGCGACGCCGCCGTGTCAAAAGGCCTCTCACGCACTTGCCTTTGCAGGATCGCGAAGCGGACTTTGCAGCCAGCACCATCGAGGCCGGTCGCCCAGTTAGCGCGGTCTTTGTAATCAGTTGGACTTGTGCACGCGCCCTCAGCCCAGGACTTCTCTGAGCCAGTCGTGACAAAGGCCTGCAAGAACATTCCTGGGACGGTGATGCTGGCTGGTGCCATTGCGGCTTACGCAGGAACAGACATGGACACCGGGGACATGTGTGCTGCCGTCGCCGGTGCAGTCTCTGCAGGATCCCTGTGGGCCATTGCCCAGACGCAGTACTACAGGGCTCTGAGGTACGACGAAAGCGACTTCCAAGACTGCAATCCTTTGCAGAACACAATGGCGAAGGTTTACTGCGACCTCTCCTGCGTGGAGGACGCCGTCAAGCGAGGTGACCAGAGAATCCTGAGCTCCATTGGTACCTTGAACAGAAACATCCTTTCGGAGATGAGGGAGTTCTTCCAGCACTACGTCTCAGAGATCTTCACCCGCTTAACCCACATGGAAGACAAGCAAAGCCACGAGAGTTCGCAGCTGAAAAACGTCATGGACACCTACGCCCAAGCCGACCTGGACGCCGTGAATTCCAATGGAAAGCAGATCATCGACGCCATGAATTCCCAGCACAGCGCCTTGAACAAGAATCTGGGCATAGCTGCCAAGCAGATCTTCGACCTCACCCACGAGGACGGGCCATAGGCTGCCATAGGCAGTCACAAAAGAACCAACGGCTGCTTGGGTGTTTGGGTCCTTCCGCTCAGCGACGTTCACGCTCGTCTCTGCAGGAGCACAAAGTCATCGCTCAGAAGATGGAGCCTTGTTGGCAGTCTTCTCTCTCCTTCCACACAAATGTTGACACGCACAGTAGCCGGGCTCGTACATGTGGTAACGTGGGCTGGGCATTTTCTTGGGATTCATCTGAGGATGCACATCTGGCTGCGACTTCTGATGCCATTGACAACTTGACGCTGGACTGAACCAGCAGTGGCTCGCTCACCCGCCTTGAACAGCAAAACAACTTCGCTCATGTTTGGTCAACATCTTATCTAGACCGGCAGCGAGCTTTGCCTGTGTGACGAGGAAACTACTTGTAATTTGCGCAATGTGCGTACATGCAAGAGTTTGATAGACAGTGGTGGCGAACTTGGTCTCAAGGCCGGCGTTGACCGGCACTGGTACTAAGGAAGGAGTCAACAGCGCAAGGCTTCCATGACGCTTTCAGCGAGTTCACCGATGCCCTGGCATCGGAAGACACTGGACGGACGTGGTAAGAGTGCGTAGAGCAACTTTAGAGCCTTCCGCTGTGTCGGACTCGACACAAAACCAAGGAGGGTGCGGCCCTCACACAGTTGAAACAGACCCACACGGCTGCCAAGCAAGCTCTGGAAGAGAGCCTTCTCAGCAATAGCCTCGTCTGTGGCTTGCCTTGGCATCTCGCATCTAGAGGATATCAGCCTGGAACGTGGACGGGGCCATGTACCGCCTCGGTTCTGCCAAGCTGGACACTGCAGTTGCACCGCATATCCGTTGTCAGCATTGTTGCGGCGGGACAGGGGATGCTAGTTTTGGACATCATGGGAACAGGTACTGTCGTGAATATACGTGTCCTGGTAGACATGCATTGGGCAAAAGACTGGGCCCACAAGAAAAGCAAGAACCGGCGTGGGGAGGTTGCTAGCTCTGCTAGCTTTTTGGAGACGATGTAAAAGACGAGTGACAAGTGGCCATGCCCAGCCGTATCTGCACGCATTGTGGCTTTTCCATGATGTGTCCGGCTCTTTTCGGGATGGTTGCATGTTGGTAAAGGGTTTGAGGCCTTAGCAAGATCACTCTCTTCTTTGAAACTGGTGAGGGGATGTGTAGCGACGCGGCACGCAGTGCATATCGTCATGTTTGAGCTGGAACTTGTGCGTTTGAATGAGCACGGCATGTGTGGCATCAACCAGAAATGGAGGAAGCTACTACTAGGCACACTTATCGTGTGACGAAGCAAATGGTCTCGAGATGACGGGCCTGCCATCAGTCCAGAACGGACGAGGTAACGTCCGAAATGCATGGTTCCGCGGCAAGGGCTCGCGCCCGGGGGCATAGCTTCACGTGTTTAGATTTGCGGCGTACCTTCTGGCGAGTCCAGTGCTGCTCGGGGCTCACGATGTGAGGTTTGGCTGTGGTTTCGATGACCAAGTGCAGCCTTTTGCGTGTTTGGATGCGAGCAATTGAAACTAACACATGCATGGCATAGAGCTTGCTCTCGAAAACCTTGTGGCTAGGAGCCAACTGCCCTCTAAGCAGGCTTAGGTGGATGAGTGTTGCAGTACACTCCACACGCTTGCAGCCGCAAGAGCAGATTCAGGAGCAAGTTGAGCAGGCCCTGCTTGCCCTGCACAGCCAGCTTACACATGCACCTTGGTTGCACCAGGCCGCAAGAGTGGCCGCTATGCATTGACGAAGCAACACCTTTGTCAGCTACCGTTTGACATTGCCCACCTCATGTCACGTTGTGGGTGGAGTGTGGGTGGTTCAGGGTCTCTCAGAAATGTAGCTTTGCTTTTGGGCTCGTGCCCCCGTGATAGCGTCAGCTCAGGGCACTAGAAGAGGTGTTAATGTGATCCACGGCCTGAGCCCCGGCCCCGCCCCTCCCCCCGCTTCGTGGGCTTGGATCCACGGTTGCTTGTGGCAGGAACACCGGCCCTCTCTCCAAGCTTAGTTCGACTTATTGTGCTTGCTCCAGCATGCCGCCAAGCAGAAGCCGTAATTATGAATGCATGTCACGCACCTTTGCTTTTCAGCAGGCTCGTTCTCGGCAAGCTGGAAGGGAAACGTCGTCCAACGCCACAGTGCGGACGCTTGCAATGCACAAGAGTGCAGTGTTTAGTGGTAGCGAGGCAGAACTAGCGCGACTCACTAGCTGTCTCGGGCGTGCTTAGGTCCGAGAGGCTCCTGGAGGGCGCGGCGCTTCACCGTGACACAGCGGCCATTGCCAGATCGTTGTTGGGCTGGAAGGCCTGCGACGAGTGTTCGGACTTTCGGGATGCAGAACTCGCGAGCCCATGAGCATTTCTGCTTTCAGGCGAACATGCCCGATTCGGAGCCTGCTCTGATTGACTTGGAGATGAAGAAGCTTCTCAAGGCGGCGCAGACGTCGTGTCTTGGCGATGCGGACGTTGTCACAAGGTTGGTGTCGGCCATTATGAGTTTGCTTAGGATCCGAAGTCACCGCCATTCTGCTCAACACATGAGTCGCCACATCGAGTTCTTAAGAGGCGAGTCTGAGGCTGGATATTTTTTACACTTGCTGGTACGTCGCAGAGGGGAAGCTCCTCCATGCAAGGCCGCCAGGCTTGACCAGTTCCACATGGAATCCCAGGTTGTGGAGTTCGACAAGACCCTTAGCTGGCAAGAAAGCAGGTCACCTGTAGTTGAGTGCAGAGATGTGCTGTGATACTATACTAGGATAACAGTGGATGCGATGCTCACAGCCATCTTGAGATGGCCCCTTGCTGTTCTCGCACTGTTCGGGCAGGCCTTGCTTGCAAGAAGCCTGGACAGGTCCCAACTGCCGAGGTGCCTGTCGTGAGTCCCATCATGTTCCATCTCCTCATTTTGCTCAGAAGGTGGCAACATGTCGTCCATGGGTACTTGCTAAAGAGCTCGGCTAGCTTTCTGGCGTTCAACGAATCGTCCAATACAAAGTTATTTGCAGCAGCTTTGGCTATTGACTCGTGGATTTCACCGGTTGCTGCTCCCATCCGATGTTGGTATGCAGCATACTTGCTTTTTCCGCGAGTTATTTCTGCGGGACGGGTCCACCGTGTGATCCTGCCACGCGTTCCTTACGGCGCTTAATTCTTTTGTGTGAAGGTTGATCTCCGTTGCCACAGCATCTGATGGCGTCTCTTTCTGGGCAGAGAATGCCTGCCCGGCCGGGCCGGGACCCTGCGCCCGCTCTGCTTTGAAATTTTGGCCGTCTCTCGTACCCGGCTCTCCTTTCCTTTCCTTCGGCTCCTTTTGTGTCCGTTCTCCTTCAATTTTGCTATCTTCCAGAAGATCGCCTCCCTCAAGATAGCGATCGCGCGGCATGCGCTGAGCAAAACGGGTGTCAAGGATGCAGCAGAACACGCGCGCGGGTTCTGCATTGTAAGTATCTGATCATCGACTGCCAGATCGTCGGTGGCCTTTGTGTTTGTCAAAGGCCACGCCTAATGAGGAGCCAACAGTGCGCATGACGAGTACGTGTTCTTCAAGCTTTGGCTCTGCCAAGCTTTGCCTCTGCCCAGGATCCTCCTGAAGATCCGCCAGGCCGCGGAGGAGTACATGGAAGCCGCGCAGGAGCCACCCGGCCGATGCAAAAAGAGCCTGTGGGCGCATGGCACCACGGCATGGCTCCCTGTCGTACAGAGGGCAAGTTTTGTCTTGTCCTTGCCGTGAGGCAAGTGGACCATGTCAGCACAGCGACGGAGCTGACTGAAGACTACTTGTCCAAGTGCAGTGTTGCTCCTTGGCACAGGCTAGATGCCCATGCAAGACCTAGAGCACACAGCCAACGGGCAAGGCAACAGCATTGGAGCACTGAGTGCCGTGTCAGTGCCTTGGCTCTCAGGATTTCTTGCAGGTGCAGGTTGCAGCAGAGCGTGCCATGCAAACGGGCCAGCGAGCGGCGAGAGCAGCACGCCGAGCGTTGACTCTCGGCACCGCAGCCTGAGTCGTTCTTTCGTCGTTTCCTGGTTTTGTTGCCGTGTCTTTGCAATTGTTTGTAAGTAAGAAGCTGCAGTGCGCTGCAGTGCGCAGCTGAGGCGGGAGGTCTGCCAGCAGGTGGGGCTCCTAGCGGAGGTGCTGGTGGACGGTGGCCTGGCCCCTTGGCATCGCCGTTTAGGAATTGGAGAAGAATCCGTGCTTGCCAGTGCTTGCCAGCGCCAGCACCGTCTCGTTTTTCAGGTCCGCTCGGCGCTGCAAGCGGCAGCAGCGGCCGCCACCGACGCAGCCAAGCCGAGCCTTCGGCTCGTGGCGGAGTCCGTGGAGAACTTGGACGGGGTGCCCCTTTGAATCTCGAAGTATGTCTCGTTGGGACCGGTTCAATCGTCTCTCCCAGGCTCTGATCTAGAGAACCTAGAGTCTACAGAGGGATGTCCGGATACCCATCCACAAAAGCTTATGTCGCACTTACACCTCGGATATCTCTGGTTCTTGGGCTTCCGCTTGTCGGGCTTGGCTTTGGTCTGTCGGCTGGTTGGCTCGTTGGCTTCCAGGCTTCCTTGTCTCTCCGTGACTCTCTTAGCCCGAAGGGTTGTGAATGCACTTTGCGATATGGTTTATGAAGCTGGCTGCAAAAGTTCTGTGGTCTTATCCGTGCATCTCCGGTCCTCCGCGTAGTGCGGAGAGGATGGGAGCTCGAGGCCCGGGAAAAAGGCGAGATGCAGCGAGCCTTCGGACTTCGGCCGACTGCCTTAGGGTCCCCCCTTGTGCCCTGTGGTTTTGGCCGTTTGAGTAGGCTTGCAGCGAGAGCTATAGGCCGATCCCATGCTGCCAGAGGTGCCTGACAAGCCAGTGCAGCCTGCGCATGAATCCAAGCTCGTGCTCCAGCAGCTCCATGCCACTATTTCTCGGACGGCACAGAAACACAGGATAAGGCAGGCATCTACAGTATCTGGGCTGCTCCAGATGCCTGAGCTCTTCCACATCCTGCACCTGAGCATGTTGACACAGCTGGCAGAGTGGATGCCGCCAGTGCTGCCAAAAGCCCAGGCTACTTCGTTTGCCGAAGCTTTGCGGTTTGAAACGCTCTGACCATTTCCTGCCCTTTCAGACATTTTGAGTCGCACTCTTGACAAGGCGGCTTTCAAACTGGCACGTCATCTCCGCCATCGACACGACATGCACGGCTTGTCTCGCAGTAGTGCAGAGGATGCACGGCTCATGCACTCAGCCTGGGCACGTCTCGATGCTGAACTTCAAGCGCCCAGCCCGACCTGGAATCGCTTTTTCGACCCTTGATCTCGTGAACATCTTACTGCTGCTTGGTGCTGAGGAGATGGCTGGAGAAAGCCGCGTGCGGCATACTGCGCTGGGTGCTTTGTTTGCCCAGCAAATGGATGAAGTACTGGCTTTAGCAGCACCCGTACCGGAAAACTGCACTCTGGCTGGACAGGACACCGGTCTGTAACCGCATGTGCCGCAGTTGCGACGAACAGGGAAACATCGGTTTTCAGATGTACTGTATCGCTCAAGTGTAGGCTTCAGTCTCTTCCGAGAGTCACATGTCACATGCCTGTTTCGAGGAGGGCTGGATGCTGTGGGCTGCCATTCCTTCGGACACTACCGTGTCTCTGCTATGTTTAGTGGACTTGGCACTTGCTGGTTGGGCCCTGGAAGCCTGAGCTTTGACAGCTCGCGACGCAAGAGCACCATCCTGTCCTTCTCACGCAAGCATCCCGCAAGAGCACTCCTGAAACAGTTGCTGGTTGCGACAAGTGGATCCGGTTGTTCGTCGCAGGCTTGGGAAGGAGGATAAACGATGTCTTGGTTGCTAGAGAGCTGTTCAATGCACACGAGTTCTGGTGAGCATCAGGCAGACGGCCAAGCACTGATAGAACAATGCGCGTGGGCATGCCTGTGTATGCTCAATTAGGATTACAATGCGGCGCTGAAGCCTTGAGGAGAAAACTGTTCCGAAGCCACGTGTCTTTTTTGTTGTGCGCAGCAACGGGATGCTGTCTGACTCGTCTTAATGATTCGATTCGGCTATATTCGGCTCCAAGAATTGAGGCCTTCGTCATTGTCAAAGGTGCGGCCAATCTCGTTCAGCACGCCCGAGGCCATGCCTTGCGTGAAGCATAGAACCCTGCCCGAGTTTCTGCACGTCTCTAGCGGCTAGAGTCGGCTAGACAAGGCATTTACTTACGAAAGCGGGGCAAACTGAACAGGCATGCTGTGTATGAGATTGAGCTCGTGAGTGACCTGCATGCGCTAGCGATGGTAAGACAAGAAAGATACTGTAGCAATCAACGTCGATCGGTAATTAATCTCTGCCCCATGAGGGGTTGGGGTGGGACAGAGCCAGGACGTCATCACCGGAGACTGGATTTTGCCGCCATCTCCAACAGCTCCAAGGATGCAGGCGGAATTCAGTACGGCCTTACCATGGGCTTTTGCTTTTGAGCTGCAAGGGAGCTTTGAAGCGATGCTTTGCAACTCGCAGACCGGATCCGCCACAGCCTCAGCCTTGAGCCTTCAGCATCCTTCAGCCCTTCAGCCTGCGCGGGGCTAAAAACTTGCAATGGGAGCTCGGGCGCACAGCAGAAAGCAGCTGCTAACTGCACAAAGCAAATCGTTTCTTGATCCTGGAGAAGGGGGGCTGCACAGATTTTCTCCGAGGCGCGTGCTTTGGAGGTGGGCGAGGTGGCTACCTGGCTTTGCACCGAAACGGTAGACAGCGTCGTTGACCATTGGACTCTGCGACCCTGCCAATCTGCGCCATGGGTTGCTGTTGTGCCTTAGGTGGCTTGCTTCTCAAATGAGACGCAGAAGCCACTTGGCAGAATCACCCATGGAAAATGCGTCGCCGTCTGTCATCTTGAGCAGCTACATGGCAGGGGCAGGATGCACAGGATAAGCTGAGCAGAAACAACTGTGCACAGGTCAGGCTGCAATGTGGTGCTTGATCTGCCGGTGGTTTCACCAGCTGCTTGAGCAGCCTTTTAGGCTATGGTCCAATCTGACGGCCGGGCCTCGCAAGATCTCCTGGGCAACTGTTCAGCCAACCAGGAGCTGGCAAAAGCTATCAGGGTCGAAGGTCTTGCGCACGTCCAAGGTGAAACCGCTGCTTAGGAACATTGGGTTCAGGGGTCGAAGTCTACCGGCGCGTTTTGCATATTTTAGGAATACGTGTAATACGTGTGTATGGGTCATAAGGAATATAATGAGAAAGTTGCAACATGGAAATACACGACTTGTTTTAAGCGTCCCTAAAACTTCATTTCTTAACTAAGTCCAGTTTTTATTCAGATAATGGTATTAGATAGAATACCTTGAATATACTCGAGAGCTCAATCTGTCGAACTATATACCGAGGTATCGAAATCACATACTTAATGTGCATGTAGCTAGCAGTCTATGCATGAACGTATGATGTACAGCACTAAAGTGTCTAATTGGTATTCATTGTAAAATCAGTGCGTGTTCGGTTCACTTATTGGAAAGACTGCTAAATGCATTATACTATTGTCATATTTAAGTTGGATTTGGTATTAGTTAAGAAACACTCCGCCTAAACAGGTCCGAGGGTTTAGTCTACCCGGTTAAGTATCTACGTAGTTGTGAAGAGAATAAGTCTTTTAGGTATACCACTGTCCCTACAGATTCTACTGTGAGTGTATATGTGTACGTATATATATATATATAAATAATATGTGTGCATGTATATATATATATACATATATATGTAGATATTTATATATGTGCTCTAAATTCCAATTAAATGGCAGACGACAAACTTTTTATGCTGTTACTATACTTAAGTCTGACAATTTTAGCTCAGCAAATACTGTGCTTGAATTGCTCCGACCGAGGAGTCAGTGTACCCAATTATCTAGTTACCAACATAAGAACTAACCTCTCTACAGTCAGTAATCCGTATAAGTATGTCATTATCCATGAGTGTAGTATCATGACTGTCAATTATGATAAATATAATCCTCTGTCTCTTCGTGAGTGTGGTTCTAGTAATTCTAGTAAGCAGCTTACTGGGTAAGTCACAACAACGAATCTCAAGCCATATCTGTAGCAGTCAACGGACCCTCGAAATTCAACACTAAATCATAACACCGAGGTGTTATACTTGATAGGTATAACTAGACATTTTGCTTCATTACCTAAACCTGTAGTATCAGTATAAGAATAAATGTATTTGTGGGGCGTAGTAGTTAACAGACCCTGGAAGTTCAATTCTTTATCCAGCTGGTTAATATTTTCCCTTAACTGTTGCGCGCACAAGAGATGGCGCACACTAAACATGGATAATATACTTGGTAGGTATCTCTAAACTGTACATTCTGTTTGATGTCCTAAAACCTTTAGTATAAGAATGAGTGTGTTTGTAGGGCTGGCCGCATCAACTGAAATGCACAGTACGGCGAAAGACTACAACCTAGTGTCCAATTGAAGCCACTTATGGCATTATGTAATGCATGTTCAGGAAAGACAACTGACACATGAAAATGAAGGGATAACTCCATAATAAGGTATAGAAACATACATAGTGCCGAGTGCTTCTAAACAGCTTTGCAATCTTTCCTCCAGCAATACTATCCAACAATTTTTCAGAGGTGTCCTTCTGCTTGTGGTCTAGTTCCCCAAGGATTTACTTCTCGTGCAACACACAGCATTGGGCGAAATATGATTGCATTTTGAACTGAAGTTGTTCTAGAGAATACATGTTAAAGCGATAGTCGTTGTTTTATTTACCTGCAACTGTCAGTTATAGTACCTCAATGCTGCAACTGTCAGTTGTAGTACCTCATTTCCATATCTTTAGATCCGTGTCATCTTCGAATACTACAGTTGAGGCTAAAAAGGCACACGACATTGGGCGACTTTGCCGTAATGTAAACTCTCCCGTTGTCCGGCAGTTCAGGTACGCCTCTTCGACAACATCGTTGTCAACTCTTGCTGCCAGGGGCGCTGCTGTAATTAAAAACCCGAAAATATAACAACCCAAGTCGCTGAACAAAAACCAAAAAACCAAAACCTCCAAAACACCCCCAAAACCAAAACCAACAAAACTAAAAACAACAAAAAACACCTTATTTCAGAACTCTTCCATTTGTGTATATTTCTAGTACTGAAACTGTGTTTTTTTTGTTGTTTTGCTGTTTTGTTTTTTTTGGTATTTTTGGTTTTGAGTTTTTGGTTTGTTAAGGGACAAGGGTTGTTGTGTTGTTTTAGGTTTTTGCATTACAGCAATGCCCCTAAGCGTAATTGTTGACAGCGATGTCGTCGAAGAGGCGTATCTGAACTGCCGGAAACGCAGCGGGAGAGTTTGACCCCTTAACCGAACGTTGCAGTGAGTGCGAAATCCGAGTCTTGGTTTCTTCATTTGTTTTCGCTGCTGTTTGCTTGGCTTAACTGAGTGCTTGCCCCTTGAGACCAAGCAGCTCGGGGAGCCCGCTTGGAAATTGAAGCATGCACGCCGGAAATAAAGCAGCTTCGTTCAGAAGAGTGGCGGGCAGCAGGGCGATTTCGGCGACAGGCGCAGACCTTGAACTCTGGAGGGGCCCATCGAACCATTCCAAACTTGCTCTAAACTCGATGCAGCTATGTGCCAGCAGGTTGAAAGGGCGAAGAGTGCAAAAAGCAGCATTCCAAACGCTTACGACCACGGTTCGAACTCACCTCGAGGATGCTTGTAGAGTATACTCGAGAAAAAATGCCGGCGAATGGCGAATGGCTTGACGACCCTGGGTTTTCGGTTCCACAGTTTGAAAGTTTGACCCCCAGCATCCGCAGCATGGATCGGCAAACATGTGTCTGGGAATGCAGGTGGCTGGAGGTGTCTGCGGTGCTGGTGCTTTAAGTGTCTGTTTCCATGCACGTGGCAATAATACACCAATCAGAAACGTTTATGACCAAAGCCGTCTGCTTTTATCTGTTGTAAGCCATTGCTGCAGCCGAATGTTCCGTCCTATAGCAGTCTCAAGAAAGCTGTCTATAGGCTTGCTAGGTGCATCGAACCTGCCATCCACATCACCATGCCAGACCCAGCCGGAGCACCGTTAGGCAGCGAGGCAAGAAAGCGCGTTTGACCCTTATTGCCGAGCCATGGCTCGGCGAGTGGAGCGGCTGATGCTTTCCACGCCTTTGGTGCCTAGGAGCTTGGCAAGGATCCGAGTCGTCTCTTTCCAGGAGAACAAGGTGGCCATGGACTGGATGGGCCGCTTTCTGCCGATGCTGCGCTTCGCGAGCCCAGACCTGGGCTTCGACTTCCAGCGCCTGAAGCCGCGCAGGCCGGAGGCGGAGGCCGAGGAGGCCGAGGAGGCCGAGGGGGACGCGGCGGCCGAAGAGGCCTCGGCAGAGTCACCGGAGCTGCAGCTTTTAGAGGAAGCAGAGACAAGGAAGGAGCTGTCAGTCAGCGAGGAAGCGAGAGAGTGCCTCGAGGTGCAGTTCGCAGACGGGAGTTCCCAGCGCCTGAACTTGCAGCTCTACGTGTCCTCACATCAACTCATGCAACGCATCTTGGATATTGATGCCGACAAGGCGGCGAATGCGTGAAACACGGCAAAAAAAGGTGGAGATCGCAAGGGCCAGCTCTAGTGTTCGCTGCTGTGGTTAATGGACGGGAAGTGCTGCAGAATTGCAAGTCGAGTCGGGGCAGAGTATTGCATCTTGCAAGCAATGTGTCCTCATGATGGAACTCACGGAGCTTGCAGGTGTGGGGATCGCTTTTAATCTAAGTCTCAAGCCATGTCAGACGACGAGTCCGCCGTTGAGAGTGAGGCTCAGAGCGGACGAAGAAGTTCAGTTTCTTCCCTTTGTCCTGAGACCCAGTCGTGAGCAGGAAGATCTCGAAGATCTTTTTCGCAAACGCAGATGTCTGCCGCCTGCAGCGAGCATGCTTTCCTTGAAAAGGAATCCAATGTTCTGTTGGGCCCAGGTACAGACATCCCTTGTTGCTTGCTCTTTGTGCTGGCCCTGATTGCCTTGGTCGCCATGCTGGTCTACGGGGCCATGTATGGCAATGCAAGGAAGCTAAACTACGGGTTTGATGGGAGGGGGCCGGAGACCCAGCGGCTGGTTGCCATCCCGACGTTTTGCAGATTTTCCCTGAGTGCTAGGCGCCAGTGTGGTGTGCATCCCGACGTTATCGAAAGGAGCACCGTGCAAGATATCAAGCCTTCAGTTTTGAAGACTCGGAAGGGATGGGTTGGGCAGGCCGCTGCTTTTCTTCTGTCCTGTGGCTGCATCCTCAGAGGGAGCCGAGGAAGCTGGGAGCTGGATCGACCGACTTGTCAGGTGACATCCTCGGGAGACCGGACCTTAGCCGCCTTAGCCCAGCCTCGGCTCGGCCTGCTCAGTGACAAGCGCCTGAGACTATGACGTGCTCACATTCCGAGGAGCATTCCGTGAACCTGGACGACCCGGTCTGCGTCTCCCAGTGCCCAAGGCCGGTCTGTGTCCGTGTGTCGGTGCGCGCGTCGGTGGCCCCTTCGAAAGAAGAAAAAGGACTATTTCGTGACAGCAGCAAGAGCAGCAAACGTGGCCCCGAGGCGCTTGTTTTCCGGAGTGGGCCAGCAAAGCTCCGAAGTGCGAGCTATAGTGAGGATGGGACGTCATCCTCACGTACCGTTTTTTTCGGTCTGTGACATTCTCAATCCGATCATTGTGCACGGTTCGAACTCGCCGTGAAGTTCACGGTGACGCTTGGCGCAACGATTCATCAGTAGGGAACCCGGCCTTTTGAAACACATATTTTGAGTCTTGAATCATCTTGAATCGCAGACTGACGCCGGAGTGAAGTATCACGCATAGCATGAAGCTGTCGGATTCCGGGTTTCGCGCGGGCGCTCGCGCGCGCGCGTGTGTGTGTGTTGTGTGTTGTGTGTTGTGTTTTGTGTGTTGTGTGTTGTGTGTTGTGTGTTGTGTGTGTGTGTGTGCGCCGTGTGCGCCTCAAACCGTGTTACCAAGGGAACTTTACCTCATAACGCCAGGGGGCAGAGGAGCATTGCAGAGGAGCATTGCAGAGCTCTGCCCAACGAAGCTCTCTGCAATGGTTCAGGATATCAGGGCTGATCACCCTGACGTACCTGTGCCAATCGCCGCCAGAAGCACCCCAATTCGCTGTTGCTTGGACAGTTGGCCAAAGATGTTAGGGATGAGCCGTTTGAGTCCAGACGACAGGTTTGAGGCCCGACGTTGTTATTGTACATGGAGCATGGCTCCATTCAGATTACCAGATTAATGGTCGGAGGCTGCGGATGGATGTGCAAGCATGTGTGTGTGTGTGTGTGGGGATGTGGGTGTGGGTGTGTGGGTGTGGGTGTGGGTGTGGGTGTGGGTGTGGGTGTGTGGGGGTGTGGGTGTGGGTGCGGGTGTGGGCACATGTGCCTGCGTGCGTGCATGCATGTGCTTTCGGGCTTTGTTCGACATCCGAGTCCCGGAGCCTACGTGGCGGCGGCCAATGCCGGCTGCGCCCTCCCGGAGGCCACACGGCACATCTGAGCAGCTCGACCCTCGCTTTTTCGCATGCAGGCCTACCCGACGACCCAGGTCGGCAGCCGGTACTGCCTTCCTTCCGGGTGAGTTGCTCAGTGTTGCAAGGCTTACTCCACAGGTCGCTGTAAAGCAGCGCTTTGCTTCACAGTTGCACTGCAGCTGTGAACTGCATAGGTGCATAGGTTGACGTTATTGCTTGAGCCCGTCATGCAAAAGCTTCTTTCCTGAAGCTCCGCTGACGTGAAGTCGTAGCAGGTCTACCGAAGCAGTCGCGAGACGAAAGGTGCCTGTGCGTGTTTGGCAAAGGGCCGGTCCAATGATTTGTGACGCACCTGCACCTGCCAACTTGTCGCCGGCTTGTCGCCAGCTTGTCGCCAGCTTGCAGGTTGAAAAGGGCATGAGGGACACTGCAACGGAGGCCTTCACTGTGCTCGATCGCATTGGCTGGGGGCTCGGCGGAGATGAGGGTGGTGCAGCTCAAGTGCCGAGTGTTGAGGCAAGGCATGGCCGGTCCTGCTGCTGGCAGTGTTGCTTGCTTGCGCGATGGGGTATCCCACCAAGCTTCAAGCTTGAAGAAGCCTTGCGGCCGCCAGCTCACTTCAGGTACATCTTCCTTTTCATGTTGAAGACCGTCGCCGGCTGCATCATTTGGTTTTGCGCGCTGGTGCGTCGGCCGGTCTGCCTGCAGTCAGATCGTGGGATACTGCGCAGCACAGGTGGGTCTCGCTGCTTTCCTCCTGCTCGGTGCCTTCCTTTGGGCACAATCAGAGGACTGGTCGCCCGTGAGGCTATGGCGGCTGTGGATAAGGGCATTGTAGTGCTACTCTGCAGGATGCCCTGGAGTGGGCGACGACGTACAAGGCCGAAAGCTGAGAAGGTCACATTGCCCAGACACTAGACAGTCGGCTGCTCGGACGGTTCGTCGCTGTGGCTGAGGTGTTGGCCGTGATTTCCTGGATCGCAAGCGTCCTCGTGGCTCTGCTCATCTGCTGTTGCCGCCAGGAGCCTTCGCTCACGGAAGTTGATAAAATGATAAAATTCAGAGTCTATGCGAGAAGCACGCAGGAAGTCAAATTGTCCACCAAGTGCATGGGGCAAGCCGCTGTCGCCTGTGCCTCAGATCAGAAAGCTGCGTGCCAGCTCTTGCCGCAGTGTGGCGGAAGGTGATTTGGCGAATGCCTATTCTTCTGCTCTCTCCGCTCCTGAAGGCATCGCTGCACTCATCAAACAGTGCGTTGCCTCTTCATCAGACATTGCAGGTTGTGGGCGGGGTCGGGGACGTTTTTTTTCATTTTTTGGTTCCGGTCGGCAGGCGCAGGTGCGCAGTTCGGACCATGGTTTCCCGAGCTTGCTCTTGTGAAGGCCATCATCAAGACTGTCCTCTTCCTCCTGCCCCTTTGGCTTGTTTCGTTCGCCTGCAGCTCGTGCTCGTTTTGTATTGAGAATGCTGTAGAAAAAGCTGCAGGCTGGCAGTTGGTTTCATCCACCTCCTGGCCACAGGCAGCTCTCCATGAAGTCGCTTCCAAGCTTCAAGCTCGTCTTTCGGGCTCTCCAAGAGTCTGCACCAACCTTCTGCTGGCCATCGCGGAAAGACAGAAATCTCTCAGAGTGAAGCCGAACAGGTGAAGTTTCTGGTGTCGGCCGTGAGCGTCACGTGGATTTTTCCGGTGCTCCTGCCAGTGCTACCAGTGAAGTTTGTGCACAGCAGACTACATCTCACCGTGCCAATCACTTGAATGCTTACCATGTACCATGTGTAAGGTCCGCAAAAAGCCCTGTTAGTCCTGTATGCCTTCATCTCCTTGTGGGTGCTGGCGTACGTCAGTTGGCGGCCTACTGAAAGCCGGCCTTGAACCCTTGAGCTCACCGGAGCGCTACAGCTTGTCAGGCGCTCTGTATCAGTTCTCCATCGCCTTCGCAACGGCGAAGTACTTCTGCGCCAACATCGAGAACGGTCGCAAGGTCGGGTCATGTCCAGACACGCATGGACCATGCGAGACTCTCCCTTCTTAGGCTGTCGCCGCTTGCAGCGTCTGCGAGGGAGTCCGTGGGGGACCCCAAACACAGAGACTTGGAGAGAGCAGGGACAGACCAGGT